TGAGGAGGGCAGTTGTGACTGTTGTCTTGCTGAGGAGGGCAGTTGAGAATGTTGTCTTGCTGAGGAGGGCAGTTTTGATTGTTGTCTTGCTGATGATGGCAGTTTTGATTGTTGTCTTGCTGAGGAGGGCAGTTTTGATTGTTGTCTTGCTGAGGAGGGCAGTTGTGACTGTTGTCTTGCTGATGATGGCAGTTTTGTCTGTTGTCTTGCTGAGGAGGGCTGTTTTGACTGTTGCCTTGCTGAGGAGGGCAGTTGTGACTGTTGTCTTGCTGAGGAGGGCAGTTTTGACTGTTGTCTTGATGAGGAGGGCAGTTTTGACTGTTGTCTTGCTGAGGAGGGCAGTTTTGACTGTTGTCTTGCTGAGGAGGGCAGATGTGACTGTTGTCTTGATGAGGAGGGCAGATTAGTTTAATAGTTTAATATGTTTATTATGCACCCCATACCCATCCTGTGGGCGGTAGTCAAAAGATTACAGAGGTACATAATGGGTCCAGGGACTGGGCCTCAAAGTTTTGATAGCTGAGCAAGCTACAGAGGCAATGAACTCACAATTTACAAAGGTAATGAACTCACAATTTACAAAGGTAATGAACTCCAGGTAGGTCTAGTCACAATCATTACAAGTTACAAAGGTATTTACAGATTACAGAGGTACACAATGGGTCCAGGGACCGGGCTCCAAAGTTTTGATGGCTGAACTAGGTACAAGGTAATGAACTCACAAGTTACAAAGGTAATGAACTCACAAGTTACAAAGGTAATGAATACTGTAAGAATGGTTACTTACGTTTATACATGGCTGCAATCATGAACAAATTTTAGAGTAATGAGCAATTCACACTTCCACACCCGGTCACAACTGTAGTGAGTTATTGGTGCAAATGTTGATTGCTGAGTCTCTCTCTCTCTCACACACACACACACACACACACACACACATACAAATTCATACACACACACACATAAACACACACACACACACACACACACAAACTCATACACACACGCACACACACTCATACTCACACACACTCATACACACACTCACACTCATACACACACACACTCATACTCACACACACACACACACACACACACACACACACACACACACACACACACACACACACACACACACACATGCACACATGTGGTAATGCTTTATTTACAGCTAGCAAAGTCAGGGTATTTCTCCAGAATGGTCTGTAATATACCACTGTGGATAAAATACTTAGCCATTTCTTGAACACTTCTGAGTGAGGGCAGATGTGATTGTTGTTTTGCTGAGAAGAGCAGTTGTGACTGTTGTCTTGCTGAGGAGGGCAGATGTGATTGTTGTCTTGCTGAGGAGGGCAGTTGTGACTGTTGTCTTGCTGAGGAGGGCAGATGTGACTGTTGTCTTGCTGAGGAGGGCAGTTGTGGCTGTTTACTTGCTGAGGAGGGCAGTTACGACTGATGTCTTGCTGAGGAGGGCAGATGTGATTGTTGTCTTGCTGAGGAGGGCAGATGTGACTGTTGTCTTGCTGAGGAGGGCAGTTTTGACTGTTGTCTTGCTGAGGAGGGCAGTTTTGACTGTTGTCTTGCTGAGGAGGGCAGTTTTGACTGTTGTCTTGCTGAGGAGGGCAGTTTTGACTGTTGTCTTGCTGAGGAGGGCAGTTTTGACTGTTGTCTTGCTGAGGAGGGCAGTTTTGACTGTTGTCTTGCTGAGGAGGGCAGTTTTGACTGTTGTCTTGCTGAGGAGGGCAGTTTTGACTGTTGTCTTGCTGAGGAGGGCAGTTTTGACTGTTGTCTTGCTGAGGAGGGCAGTTTTGACTGTTGTCTTGCTGAGGAGGTGGGGCATGCAAAGAGTACGTAACCTTTATTCGGCGCATGTACACACCCTCATTTACAGGCTATATCCCCCAACCAGCGAACCCGGTGACTAAGAGTTGACGATGGGGCCCCGTCGTTTAACTAGTAACCAGGTTCCAGCCAATAAGAAGATGGTTTTGGCAATCGCAGAGGTTATGTGGGTACCACTCTCCTGTCTGCCCTTGTCATTCCCTTTCTAGAGCTGGTTGAAGCACGGTCTGCTCTCTTGTGGCTTCTATTTTTGCCTTGGTTACCGTGGAGTGCACTACTACCTATCACTGTACATAGTGTATATAGTGTACATATTGCTGTTCTAAATTGGTGAAGGATAATATAAGTCAAAACTTTTCTGCTGTTTATTTTGCTCCCTTTACACCCAGGATAACAGGCCATTTGGAATCTTGGGTTGTAATAGGAGGGCAGTTGTGACTGTTGTCTTGCTGAGGAGGGCAGTTGTGACTGTTGTCTTGCTGAGGAGAGCAGTTCTGACTGTTGTCTTAGCTTTACTGGCAGTGGTAGTCGTGGCTCAGTGGTGTCGCCTTCTTTAATTTTGACAGAGAATACTGGCTAGGGAAAGTATCATATATAGAATACTGTAGCAGCAAGTTGCAGGTGTACCCATAAAGTAACTATTGTAGAACAGGATAACTAAATGCTACAGATGTTTAAACTTATGATTGTGGCACCTCGCTAGTGACCCTGTTTCATGATGGCACTGATGATTGTGGCACCTTGGTGGTGACCCTGTTTCATTATGGCACTCATGTCAATGCCTCTAAAAACAGTTTTATTCATCAGAATATAATATAGTTTCATTTCATGCTAAATCATACTTGGGATACCTTAATATTAGGGAAGTGCTTTTGAACTAAGTAATTAGAGCTACCCTCCACTTCCTTGGATCAAACCTAATTATCTCCTGTTCCTAGGTGTATAACTCTTACAAGTTTCGCGCTCTCAGAGACGGCAATAAGACTTCCATGTCAGACTATCCAGACCATCCCTCTTCTCTTTATTCCATTTCTGAGACTACTAGCGTATTTGTATTTGTAGGAGACCTGTTCGTGCTCCTGGTCTGCCTAATAAACTTCATAGCCTAGAATTACTGGTTTATGGTCTCTACAGCACTATCATATCTACTCTTAAAACTGTTTAGCGTTCACCTCCACAAACCTCACATTATATTCATTCCACTTTCCTATTACACTCACACTCTAAAAGTACTTCCCAGTGTCCTTGTGACTTCTCTATCTTATAGCTTCTGTTCGTGTCACGTTGTAGTGTTAACAGTCCAGTTTGTTCTCTCTCACTTCCAGTCTGTGCCTAAATATCTTATCACTTCCAGTCAGATGAAAAGTGAAACAAACTTTGTGAGCGGACAAAGATTTATTGTGTTAGTGCACGGTGCACCTAGAGGAGTGTAAGTTATTTATACGACCGAACAGTGCATGGGGTGAGGGTGTGACTGTGAGTGTGGGTGTGTTTATGGGCGTGGATTAAGAATACGAGCAAGATGGACGGGTACTGACCTGAGGCAGGTGTGGGTTTAGGGTACAAGAAAGCCAGGATGAATGTGGAAACTGATAAAATGTGCAGGTGGGTAGTGAAGGAAGGGGAGAAAGAACTGAATGGTGCGTTGCTGCAAAACTCGCATAGTCACACACTAGTATCATTGATATGTATTCCCGGGAAAGTGCTGCAGAATATAAGCAGAGAGAGGTTGGTTATGTATCTGGAGAGGAGACACTTCAGTGATGTAATTCTATAAAAAAAAAATCAAGGAAATAAGCAAGAGATACAAGGATAGATCGAATATATTTTCTTGACTGCAGAAAGGCATGTGATGCAGCACCACACCCGGGTTTGATCCATAAATTGGAAGAGCACGCTGGGTTGCAAAAGAATACTCAGATGGATCGGTTGGTAACTAACGGATAAGAGACAGAATATGACCGTAAGAGAGGAAACATCAGTATGGGTGAGATTAACAGGTGGGGTTCCCCAAGGCTCGGTACTAGAGCCCTCACTCTGCCTAATAAACGTAAATGATCTGCCAGAAGAGACCAATTCCTATTAATCGCTGTTTGATAATGATATAAAACTAATGAGGGAAATAACACTAGAGGATAAAGACAGACTTCAAAGAGACTGAGATATACTGCACGAGTGATCAAATAAGTAGCTACAGAAGGTTAATCCAGACAAATGTAAGGTACCGCAAATCGAAGAGAGTGAAGGAAGACTAGACAAAATGTATAAATCGGAAATCAGAGAAAGCAAATAAAGAGAGGACCTGAAAATAACTGTTAACCTGAACATATTTATAGATTTACGTATAAAGCACATAACATCAGCAGTACATGCGAGGCTAGTGAATCTTAGAATTACCTTCAGAAAACTCAATAAGAAAACCTTCAAGATAATGAACAGGACGTGCATCAGACCTATCTTAGAAAACACAGCATCAATATGGAGTTCACACCTGTTACAGCACGTTCAGAAATCAGAGAAAATACACAGGTTTGCGACTAGGCTAGTTTCATAACTAAGGTTGTTGAACTATGTGGAGAACCTAAAAGAACTGACTGTCAACTTTGGAAGCAAGAGGAACCAAAGGAGACAGATCACGACGTGTAAGTTACTCAGAAGTTTTGATGGAGCAGGCAGGGACAAAAATGTTTGAAACGCGAGGCTCTGAGGCAAGCGGGCAAGATGAGCCATAGCTATATTAGGTAATATTTCTTCAACCTTACAATGGTAAACACGTCTGAGTTTAAGGTGGTAGAGGTAAACTCCATGCGCACTTTTAAGAGCAGGTATGACAGAAGTCCAGGGGGTCAGAAACCAGTGAGTGATAGGAGCCCAGGAAGCTGGAAACCAGTGGATGATAGGGGCCCAGGAGCCCAGGAGCCCAGGAACCAGTGGATGATTAGGCGTCCAGGAGCCCAGGAACCAGTGGATGATTAGGCGTCCAGGAGCCCAGGAACCAGTGGATGATAGGAGGTCCAGGAAGTTAGGAACCTGTGGATGCTGGTCAATATTGTGGGCGACTACTAGCTTCTGGTGGGTGTAAGTCAAGGGTACGGGTAAATGGGTATAGACCTGAGGCGGGTGAGGATTTTTTGTACAGGTGAGGTAAGGGTACAGACCTGAGGCGGGTGGGCGAGGTAGAGCAGCAGCGCGGGTAGTTAGCGGCACAAGGGCCAGAGTAACACTGATGCAGTACCCAGTGTGTGGCCTTTACCCACCCACCTGTGCCCGCCCACCTGCATCACTGGTGCCCACCCACATATGCCTGCCCAACTGCACCGCTGGTGCCCACCACATGTGCCTGCCCAACTGCACCCCTGGTGCCCACCCACATGTGCCCGCCCACTTGCTATGTTGATGAACGGGCCATGGACGCGTAATTTCCTGCATGTTGGAATAGTAATAGACGAACTGACTGGTGTCAGGCTTCTACAAGTTCGTGGAATTCCTTAAATATTTATGTTATGATAGTACTTGTACACTAACCAGAGTTACAATCACTCTTCTTAATACACAAATAACCCGCACATAAAAGAGAGAAGCTTACGACGACGTTTCGGTCCGACTCGGACCATTTACAAAGTTACGACCGAAACGTCGTCGTAAGCTTCTCTCTTTTATGTGCGGGTTATTTGTGTATCGTTCCAGTCACGGTATTGTGCCTTTTTTTTTTTTTGTTACTCTTCTTAATACTGGAACATCCTAGTAATTTCTCTCCTATATTTGATGGTTAGTGTTTTAAATTACAGGAGGGTAGGTAGGTGGGTTTAAGGGAGGATTGGTGGTTTTGAAGGACGGTACCTGGGTTTAAGCGACGGTACCTGGGTTTGAAGGACGGTACCTGGATTTAAGGGACGGTACTTGCGTTTAAGGGACGGTACCTGGGTTTAAGGGACGGTAGCTGGGTTTGAGGGGCGGTATCTGGGTTTAAGGGACGGTATCTGGGTTTAAGGGACGGTACCTGGGTTTGAGGGACGCTGGATGTGTTTGAGAGGAACTATCCTGGTCATAAGATGCATCAACTATTAAATACTGAAGGCATTTAGCAGTGACAGACGTACACATTTTAATCACCTTGATTAAATGGGAATAAAAATTTCACCCAATTTTACACATAAAATGGTCAGATTTGCATCTACTCACTGGAAATTCACTTTTTGCCTTTGTCAGCTTAGGAGGCATCTTTTTGAACGTTTGAAATTAAGCCACTGAGTGTTTTTGAAAGTTATCTAAGCCATTCCGGGATGTTGGGAATATGTTCAGTAACAAGTGTTCTAAATATGAATTCGATCTGATGAGTAGTTCTCGAGTTATGAGCGAGATGAAACCGAAAAGTTAGAGAAAGAAATAGAAAGAAAAAATTTCAGGAAACCATTTAAAGGTACCTCTTTAGGAATACCTAATTATACAGCCTTTTATTACGTTGCCTCACGAAATTGTAATAATAAACCACAGAACGGTTTCAAACCCCCTCCGTTCCTTGATCTGCTATTACCTTCCTATAATATGTATATAAAAGATTGCTATAACCAAGTCTTCTGTATAATACAACTATTAGGCAATAAATTCTTGTGAGTCGTGCAGAACTTATCCACAAAATTCTGTCTCGGTGACTTTACTAAAATACAAAGATCTAGTTACTAGATCTACAGCAACTCGTCACACTAAAAGTTATAACTAATATATTAATTCAGACCAAAAGTATCATACTACAAGTTGGAAATACTAAACGAGATGTAAGTTCAACTATCATACCACAAGCTTGAAACAGTAGTCGATGATACTAGATGAGATGGAAGCTGATTGTAATGGGTAACTAAATTATTTCTGAAAAGTGCAAATATTCCCTAATTTAGAGATGAAACTAAACGAAGTTTTGGTCCTTCCTAAACCATAATCAGGTCACTCACGAGAAATGTGATAGACCGAAACGTCGGTCCATCACTATATAAATCAAGATAGTTGTTTGCTTAACAGGTTTAAAGCCTATCTACTGCACGTGGACTATCAAGGCTGCATGTCACTCGTACACCACCTATCAAGACTATTTTTACTACCTAAAATAAAGATTAAAATAAACTCTTGGGGTATAAATACCCCATTACCCCAATACTGAGAAATACAGTATACCTCTCAGTGTATATAACCTGTGTGCCAGGATAGTAATCCAGTTCGCCCTAACACAGGGTCACAAACAAAAGGACTGCGATAGCCAATGAGAGACACACTACGAACTAGCTTTAATGGGACAACATGTCGTTTATAAGTGTAAAACTTTATCAAGTTACGATAAAGTTCCACACAGCAAACATTGTCCCGATACAAGCTTGTTCTTTAACCTAACTTTGCTTCACTCGGGTCAGTAGTAATTTACTTGAATCAGCTTAATGTGAGGGCTGGGCTGCAGCTCATCCCTTAGTAACAACACTCAGAACTGGGCTGCAAGTCAGCTCTCAGCAACAATGAGGGTTGGGCTGAAAATCAGTCCTAAACAATACTGAGGGCTGGGCAGCAAGTCAGCTCTGAACAACACTAAGGACTGGGCTGCAAGTCAGGTCAGGCCTCAGAAACAATGAATCGCTATCACAGCCACTCCCTTCAGCTATTTCGTGGGTCATCCAAGCCATCGTCTAGCAGTGATAAAGGTCCAAACCTTCTCCTCGCATCCTTGAACGCTGGTGTTCCAGCCGCTCTTATCAGGGGCCAACAACAGCAGTACAACACGCGTTTGTGTTCACCTAGTCTGATATGCTTGCCAGCTTGACAGTATTTGACAACACTCACATTTAACCAGCTCTGAACCATTGTCAAGTCTTGAATTGAATTATTAATTATTATTAATGCTATTATTATTATTATTATTATTATTATTATTATTATTATTATTATTATTATTATTATTATTATTATTATTATTATTGTTATTATTATTATTATTATTATTGTTATTATTACTAAAACGAGAGAGAGAAAGAGATTGGCACCAGACTACCAAGTCCACCATCACCACAACATCTCAGCAACCACAACAATCACCACAAGATTATAATTGTAGCCAAGCAACAGCATCATCTTCATCATCATCGTCATCATCAACAGCAGCAGCAGAAACAAGAACACCAGCAGCAGCAGCAGCAGCAGCAGCACCAACACCAGCAGCCCCACCAACATCACCAGCAGCACCAGCAGCACCAGTAGCAAAAGCACCACCAGCAGCACCAGCAGTATCAGCAGCATCACCACCAGCATCACCACCACCACCAGCAGCAGCACCACCACCAGCAGCACCAGCAGCACCACCAGCATCACCACCAGCATCACCACCACCACCACCACCACCACCACCACCACCACCACCACCAGCAGCACCAGCACCAGCATCAGCAGCACCAGCAGCACCACCATCAGCAACACCAGCACCAGCAGCACCAGCAGCACCAGCACCAGAACCAGCACCAGCAGCACCAGCAACACCAAGCAGCACCAGCAGCAGCAGCAGCACCAGCAGCACCAGCACCAGAACCAGCACCAGCAGCACCAGCAACACCAAGCAGCACCAGCAGCACCAGCAGCACCAGCAGCACCACCAACAACAGCAACACCTGCAGCACCACCAGCATCAGCAGCACCAGCAGCACCACCATCAGCAACACCAGCACCAGCAGCACCAGCAGCAACAGCACCAGAACCAGCACCAGCAGCACCAGCAACACCAAGCAGCACCAGCAGCACCAGCAGCAGCAGCACCAGCAGCACCACCAACAACAGCAACACCTGCAGCACCACCAGCAGCAGTAGCACCAGCAGCACCACCAACAACAGCAACACTAGATAAAGCCACAACACAAGTGTTGCAATATTACATTGGTTATCATCAGGTAAGAAACAGTCTTCCAGCATCAGAGTCATAATGCAGTGTGTTGAGCCCACCACGTAAACTTGACTTGTGATACACCATTACTCTGGCTTACCATCTTATGCTGCAACTCAACACTCATTAATCAGTTATTACGCAACATAAAAATAATAGTAATAATAATAATAATAATAATAATAATAAATAATAATAAAATTGATGATGATGATAATAATAATAATAATTAATAATAATAATAATAATAATAATAATAATAATAATAATATAATAATAATAATAATAATAATAATAATAATAATAATTAATAATAATAATAATAATAATAATAATTAATAATAATAATAATAATATTTATTTTTTTTTTTATTATCACACCGGCCGATTCCCACCAAGGCAGGGTGGCCCGAAAAGAAAAACTTTCACATCATTCACTCCATCACTGTCTTGCCAGAAGGGTGCTTTACACTACAGTTTTTAAACTGCAACATTAACACCCCTCCTTCAGAGTGCAGGCACTGTACTTCCCATCTCCAGGACTCAAGTCCGGCCTGCCGGTTTCCCTGAATCCCTTCATAAATGTTACTTTGTCACACTCCAACAGCACGTCAAGTATTAAAAAAAAACCATTTGTCTCCATTCACTCCTATCAAACACGCTCACGCTGCCTGCTGGAAGTCCAAGCCCCTCGCACACAAAACCTCCTTTACCCCCTCCCCCCAAACCCTTTCCCTAGGCCGACCCCTACCCCGCCTTCCTTCCACTACAGACTGAAAACACTCTTGAAGTCATTCTGTTTCGCTCCATTCTCTCTAACATGTCCGAACCACCTCAAAAAACCCTTCCTCAGCCCTCTGGAAAAACAGTTTGGTAATCCGCACCTCCTAATTTTCCCAAAAACTACGAATTCTCTGCTTTTAAAATTCACACCACACATTCCCCTCAGGACATGACATCTCCACTCCCTCCAGCCTTCTCCTCGCTGCAACATTCATCACCCACGCTTCACACCCATATAAGAGCGTTGGTAAACTATACTCTCATACATTCCCTCTTTGCCTCCAAGGACAAAGTTCTTTGTCTCCACAGACCCCTAAGTGCACCACTCACTCTTTTTCCTCATCAATTCTATGATTCACCTCATCTTTCATAGACCCATCCGCTGACACGTCCACTCCCAAATATCTGAATACGTTCACCTCCCCCAAATACTCTCTCCCTCCAATCTGATATTCAATCTTTCATCACCTAATCTTTTTGTTATCCTCATAACCTTACTCTTTCCTGTATTCACCTTTAATTTTCTTCTTTTGCACACCCTACCAAATTCATCCACCAATCTCTGCAACTTCTCTTCAGAATCTCCCAAGGCACAGTGTCATCAG